TCAAGCGAGGAACTAATGGACCACTATACTCTTAAAAATAAAAGTGCCAAAAAGAGTTCTTTAGGGTGATGCCATAGAAGAACCACTTCACTGAGCTTTATTAAAGAGCCATTTCTTTAAATGAGATGTGCAAGTGCGCAAAACCCTTTTTTAAAGTTTACATAACCTCAAAATAAATTTCAAAAACAATTCATCTTTCTTTTCCTGGAAAATTACTTCCAGTCCTAGGACCATTTTGGAGCTTTGGGTGTTCTAAGAGGATCCCCTGCAGTTCTACAGTGAGATCAGTACTTTTGCACCTCATGCTTTTTCACACAGATTGTAGCTCCTTTTACTTCTACTCGACGCACGATTCCATTGAAGTAACTGCACTTTAACTTCAGTATGAAGTGAAGAACCAAACTCAGGAGCTAATGAGCCACTATATCTCAAGTTTCTCTTCACGGCCTGCGTACTGTCAATCAAAGTTCAGCTCTAGTTTGTCTTAGCCCTGCCTTAGGTGTGACTGTGGCTTTGCCTTCAGCTTTGCACTCCCTACCGTAATTAGCCCGGGTCGACCGGTGCACGTACTGTGTAACAAGAGCAGACACATTCATTTTTAATCTGTTGTACAACATAAGGATGTACATATAAAGTACATTCTGTAAGGTACATATATACTTCCACACACAGCTCTCCTGCATGCTATAGAAATAAAAGGAGGCTCCTTCATGTTTTTATAACTTTTATAACTCACTACTATATATATACATATATATATATATATATATATACTCTCAGAAAAAAGTACAAAACTTTCCCTTTGGTCACCGGGTTGGTACATCTCAGTACCTTTAGTCAGGGAACATAACTGTACCATAATACATTGATATTATATTTGTACTGACTTCACACACCCTGTCTCGACTCTAGGCTTTTTATTTTATTGTTCTGTTTTAAAACATTCAGATATAAAAAGGTACAAATATGTACTTTTCACCTGGAAACACTTATGCAAGGTTCCCAAATAGACCTTAAAATCCCTGTTGTACCTTTGAGGGAACATTATATATATATAATCCACTTGCATTTAGAATTAAAAAGTTTAGGGAAAATAAGTGAAAAAAACAGGAATTTGCAAAACTCAAGTTCAAAAAAAGATTTAAAGCTACAGAGAAAATAAATAACAACCACCTGGAAGAGCTGTTAGACACCAAAACTGTCCCCATCAGATAAACAGCACTTAAAGCTTTCATCTTTGAGAGAGAGGAGAAAATCAAGCTCCACTCTGGATTCAGATCTGAAAACATCCACAGGAGTTTCTGTCCATCCTTCCACCGTGAGACACTCAGCACTATGAGTCTGAAAGGATGTGTAGCTGTTAAGAAGCTCTTACTGGTAAAAGGACACAGATAAAAAAGAAGAACATCTCCAAACCAAAACTGGATCTCTGCGACGTGGAGTGAGGTTTTATGGACTGATGAGTCAAAATTTATATTTGGGATTTATTGGATCATTAGAAGCAGAAAACTACTAAGACTGAACTTTGGAGGTGTGAAAAATATACCAGCAGATTTCTCTGAAACACTGAAGTGAGTCTCTGATAAGAAAAACTGTCAATACACTAAATCTGTTTATTTAGTTCTTAAAGATTCTGTGTAATTTTTTGTTCATTTTTAAATGGATGGTCTCTGACTTTTGCACAGTTCTGTGTGTATATAGTACCTGAAAAATAACTCTAAAGAGCACAGTTGACAGTTTGTGTGTGTGTGTGTGTGTGTGTGTGTGTATTTGAGAGCGAATGACTCAGGCACCCAGACTGCTTTCATATGCCAAACACCATTAATAGCTGTATTAATAGTTAATTAGATCCAGTCTTTAGCACATTGGTGTAATTTGTGTATTGCTTTTTTGGCCATTCTAATGCTAAGCTAACATATTCCTAACACTTTGTTTTATTTGGAAACACCTGAAAGTTACTCTCTGGCTCTTCACCTGGATTTTATTACTGTGTTTTCATTTAGTTTAGTTTTGGTTTTTCCAGTCTAAAGTGGCTTTGGCTCAGTGCTTTGGAGGGATTTAATGCGAATACACACCCGAGCAAACAGACTGGATCTGGGCTGACAGCATGTCATTCATTATGGTAATTAAAAGTAGTTGTGGTTTAAAGAATGGGCTTCTCTTTTTTCTATTTTTTTTTACATGAAAAGAATTATGTGGATTGAGGAGTTCCTCAGGGACCAATATTGGGCTCAACTGACATTTCACATGCAAAACTAATATCATTTGTTCTGGTGGAATTGTTTATGTGGTTTTTGCTTAAAATAAAAAGCCCTAAAATACTCTAAATAAAGTGATTTTTTTTTACAGAAAAAGAGTTATGTGGATTGAGGAGTCCCTCTGGGACCAATACTGGGCTCAGCTGACATTTCACACTGCAAAACTAATATTTATTGTGGTGGAATTTTTATATCATTTTAGCTTAAAATAAAAAAGACCTAAAATACTCTGAACACTGTGGGTTTTTTTTTACATGAAAAGAATTATATGGATTAAGGAGTTCCTCAGGGATCATTACTGGGCTTAACTGACATTTCACACTACAAAACTAATATCATTTATTGTGGTGGAATATTTTATGTGATTTTTGCTTAAAATTAAAAGACGCCCCAAAATAACTCTAAACTCTAAACTCTAAACACTGTGATTTACTTTATTTTAAATTGTGGTATATATTTTTAATCATATGATCTTAGCTAGTTAAAGGACACAAACTTCTACAAAAAATTATAATTAAAAAGTTTACGAAAACCGCACCCTGCGAAGCATCGCTGATCTTTCAGGACTTGAGTGCAGTTTTTTATGCATTTTTTTTTCATGCATTAAAAATTTTTGCATTTTTTTTAATGCATTTTTTTCATGCATTTTTTCATGCATTTTTTTTCATGCATTAAAAAAAAAGAAAATTCCCATCAGTCAAAAGAAATGCAACTTTTGTTTTTATTTCAAATCAAACAATCAATCTTTATTTAAACTCGGTGTACATTGAGGAAGACCCTTATTTACAATGTAGCCGAGCCATTACAGATAACAGGGATAATGGATTAAAAATAAACGGACTGTAAAAACATATCAAATGCTAAAAAAGTAAAAATAATAATAGTAATAATAAATTTAATAGCAAACAAAATTAAAAAGCAGTTAAAATTGCAATAATTTACAAGCCTAAACGCATCTGCAGCTCACATTGCAGTTGCATTATAAACATAATAGGATGGAGAAAAACTGATCTTACCTGCGTTCAAAAGTGCAACTGAAAAAAAATAGGAAAAACAAATTTTAACAAAACATTAGATTTTAAAAGCTGAAAAGAGAGACGAGAGTCTGTTGTGCTTGTCAGAGCTGGTCCAGGTGTAGGTGAGAGTGTGTGGAGTCTCGCGCAGAGGTGCTGTTGGGGTCCTGCTCCGGCTCACGGTTAAAAAGAGAGAGAGGGGCGAAGAGAAAGAAGATAAACCCGTCTCTGACAGACAGCTCGCGCAGGACTGAGTGGGGATTTTATGCATCATCGTTTTAATAAGTAACGACAATTTACAAGAAGCGCGCACGTTCGCTCGCGCTCGTTTAGTCCCGCTGATCCCGGGGCTTTGCCGCGCGCCTCTGTGGGATTAGACACACACACCCGGGACAATGAGGGCTAGAGCCCGCGAGCTGCGCGCGCTTCAACCCGGCTTTAGAGCGGCGCGCGAGGAAAAGTAACAGTGCAGAGTTACGGAGCTTTATAACAACGACAGGAAACACAGCGCGCGCTGTTCACACCTCACCACCAAGACTAATAAGAGGAAAAAGACGATCATAATTATGTGTTACTGTATTATTATTGTAGTTTAATTCTGATTTATTTTACGCTAGATTTCCTCGTATTCCTGCACCGTGTCTCTAGAGGTCTGTGTGAGTTTAGAAGCTTCCACTGAAAAAGTCTGCTGCTGAAACTTTGCGCACTTTGCGTTAATTTACGTAATCGCTAATTTTACGTTCATACATTAAGCAGCTCCATAAGACCTTTTACTGACCTCTATGGAGCTCAGGAGTCCGCGCGCTCGCGGCTTTAAAAGTGTCTGGACTGTTAAAAAATTAAAAAGTAAATAAATGTGTGAATCACATTTCAAACACTGGTCTTTCTTTCTTTCTTTCCCTTTTTTCTTGTAACAAAAACGTGCAAAATTTGCTATTTTGGTGGGGATGTTTGATGTGTTATGCACAAGAGGTAAAACACAACAGAATTTCCAGTCAGTTGAAATTTAAAATGTGAATAAAAGCCAGAATGGAACCAGAAACGCGATCAACTTTCTTTAAAAAAAAACTCAAAAGATCATGCATCTGAAATATCAGTAAGAAGTTCAGTTTGCATCCTTTAGAGATCTTTATAAACTCTTTTTAAACACTTTATAAACACTTCATAGCACTTTGTGTTCAGACTAACTAACTTCCACACTGTTTACATTTGTAGCTGTTCATATAAACTCAGTCCTCAGTTTAGAGTTTAGGGTTTATCTATAAACACAGTTTCTCTGTCTTTACCCGCTTCCCTGCGTCAAACATCAGCGCTGATAAAATATCAGGTTGAGCTTTACTTTTTAATGTAAACCGTGTTCTGAGTTCCGCGCTGCTTTTCTTTTCTTTATTATTATTATTATTATTGTTAATTTGGAACGCTCGCGCTGCACCGCGCTGCACCTGAACGTTTGGAACGCGGTGGCGTCACAATCGCCGTGGGAGGAGCCCGCGCGGCCTTTTTCGCACCGCGATTGGCCGGCTCGCTCGCCCGTGTGGTAAAGCGAGCGCTCTGATTGGCTGCGGCGCGCAGGGCGGCGCGTCTCTTTGACCCGCAGGAGGAGGAGGGCGTCAAAAAAGTCGATCGATCTCAATTCGTCAACATCATTGGCAGTAAAGAGAGAGAGGGTGAGAGAGAGTGAGAGAGAGAGAGAGAGAGAGTGTGAGAGAGAGAGAGAGAGAGAGAGAGATGAGTTTGAGGCGTTTTTGATGTTTTTTCGTCTTCTAAAAGGACTATTTCAATGCTTGATTCTGGAGTCCAGTCTTGACCGCAGCGGCAACTTTTTAATTTTTCACCAATTTTCGTGATTTGTTTTGCGCGTGAACACTTTCCGTGGAGAGCTGCAGTCGCGTGGAGTTTTAATCTACAGATTGTGGATAAACAGGAAACAGATATCCAGGTAAGAAACATTTATTATAGTCGTAATAAATGCATTAATTTTACATTTTCAAATATAATAATTTGAGAATTACGAATTTCGACTTTTGTTTACATTCTTTAAAAAAATGGTTCTTTAGTAAAGGAGAACCATGAACACTCACAGAGCCATTTGCATGCTTAAATGGTTCTCTGCGTGGTGAATTTGCTCTCCAGATTGATGGAGAATGCGTTGCATATGGTATATAGAACCTTTTCGAAAACGGTCCTCTATAGCACCAAAAAGGGTTCTGCTATTGTTACAAGCTTGTCATCATTGGTGCTGTATAGAACCATAAACAACACATTCTTCATCAACCTGAAGAACCATTTCACCATGCAAAGAATGTATAGAAATATATAGAATTTATGGTTCCTAATAGAACCATTTCCTTTACTAAAGAACCCTTGAAGAACCATCTAAACAAACAAAACTCACAGAAAGAGAAGCATCTCTGAGAGAAAAAAAGGAAGTTAGAGTTCAAAAAAGAAAGAACGTTCTCGTGCGCAGAATCGCTCACAAGTGCGACAAAACCGCAGAATTTGCATAAACTTTATTAATTTAAAGCGATCGTTCCTGATATTTTGTTCTCAGACTGGAATGTAGTGTCAGTGCATCACCTCCCAATCAGACTCAGCGTGGCTTGTTTAAACTGCCCCTGCATGCGTGAAGCCCGCGGAGAGTTTGGGTTTAGGGGTGGGGGGAGGAGGGGGGTCGTGTCATTTATTTAGTCGATAAGGTTTCTTCTGTAAATGGAGCCCCTCTGAGCGCAATCTAAATGGCTAAAAGGGGTGATTTGCACAGTTGCTGCTGATTTCCATTTGCTTAAAACTGCTGTGCGGCTCCGCAGCGCTGCCTCTTCTGCACGGCCTTAATGGGGGCTTTCATAGGCATGAGGAGCAGCAGAGGAGCGCAGCACCAACTTTACTGAAACTTTTTGTCTTCATACATTTGTACCTCTCCGTCATCACAATGGCTGAAGCCCAGATTAAACCTCCCACATCATTTAGCTTCTCTATTACCATCACTGTAACGTTATCCCAACTCTAACATTACTAAAACAATGTTGCTTTACCATGTGCAAAAAACGAGCAACACGACTGAAATTAGCGACACTTACTCATGATAAAAAAACTTTAACATGACTCAAATTAGCAAACCTTTTATATGACTGAGATTAGTAAAAATTTAACATAATTTAAATGAGTAAAATTTTAATATGACTTAAATCAGCAAAACTGTAATATGACTGAAATTAGAAAAACTTAAAAACGGTTAAAATTAGCTAAATTTTTCACGACTGAAATCAGAAAACGTTTTAATGTGACTGAAATTAGCAAAATTTTTGACTGAAATCAGAAAACTTTTAATGTGACCGAAATTAGCTAAATTTTAACATGACTGAAATTAGAAAAACTTTAATATAACTGAAATTAGAAAAACTTACAAATAATTGAAATAAAAAAATTAACATGACTGAATTTAGCAAAACTTTAATTTGACTGAAATTAGCAAAACTTTAATTTGACTGAAATTAGCAAAACTTTAATATGACTGAAGTCAGCAAAACTTTAATTTGACTGAAATCAGAAAAACTTTGTGACTCAAATTAGCCAAACTTTAACATGCGTGTAATTAGCAAAACTAATATGACTGAAATCAACAAAACCTTAATGACTCAAATTCGCAAAACTTCAACATGATTGATATCAGCAAACTTTAATATGACTGAATTTAGCAAAATCCTAATGTAACTATTATTTTTTTAATAGAACTAAAATGCTTATAACTTTAATAAAACTAAAATGAACAACATCAACAACGAATGTAACTTTAACACAGACTATCTATTTTCTCTAAACTTTTCTTCTTTTTCCAAGTCCACTGAGATGCCGCTCTGTTTCATTTATCATAACAGATCTGACTTTATTCTTTTTCCCCTTTTTAATTTTCGATAAACAACTAAATGAGGCAACTTACAGTTACGTTTTAAAGTTAGACTTATTTATTATAACAATCATTCTTACGTTATTTTTTTTCTTAAACCTCAGTTTAAAAGCTGAGGGTCAAACATTCCGTGCCAGTTTTTATTAGCCTGGGGTTTAAGCCTTACATTTATTTCAGTGTAAAAATAAACATTAATGCAGGTTTTAATCTAAGACCTTTTGATCTGATCTTAAATTTAGAAGTTAAATTAAGGAGCTGTTTTAAATCCACGGTGGATCTCATTGTGCAAACACGTCTCAATTCCTCATTTTGGGATGGTAATGAGTTAATAGAACTGAAAGACTATACGGGACTATTAGCTTAGAGAACTTACATCAGACAGAAATCAGTCAGTAGAGTCGCTGCTGCGCTGCTCTGGGCAGTTTAATGGAGATGAATACTTCACTGTAAGTGTTGATGACCGCAGACCCGTAGTGACCAAACCAGGCCAGTCAGAGCTCCAGCGCCCTGATTACTGAGCTGTGAGGTAGAGCAGCGATAGAGAGAGGTCATTTCTACCAACCGCTCTCCCCAAACTGTGACACAGTCATCACAGCCATCCCTTCACCAAAAACCGATGTTATCAGAATCAGAGTCTTTATCCGCCAAAATGTACGAAGAATTTATTTTGCTGCTGGTGTGTACATGAAACGAAACACGTTAAAATGAATGTAGGCATATATATATGTATAAAAGAATTGAGGAGCTAATAAATATATATAAATGTAAGTATAGGCTATTTATAACGAATACAAACACACACACACACACACACACACACATATATATATATATATATATATATATATATATATATATATATGTGTGTGTGTGTGTGTGTGTGTGTGTGTGTGTGTGTTAGTTGATTATGAAAATAAATCCTCTGCAATATATATATACAATATATATTCTCAACATATATTCTATATATAGGTCTGCGAGTTTGTGCTAATTTTCCAGGTCAGTTTAGATGTTATTGCTCTTCAACACAACCAACTAAAACACTCATCTCATTTATAAAACGTTCGCGCGCTGATCTGATCTGCCCTGAAAATGTCCCCGTCGTTGTGAATCAGTTGCGCCCAAACTGCTGAAACTCTGTCAGGCTCTATAAGCGGCCTCTGAGGCTCTCTGACCCCGGCTCTGCTCTCAGGCTGGTCCGGACTCTTCAGTGCCGCTCAGCTTCCATCATTAACTGGCTTTTATGCTGTGGTTGACTTTATTCCTGGAGTTTTTAAAGTTAAAGCTGTAAAGTTAAAGCTGTTCTGTGCACTGTGTTATTCTTCCCTGTCTGACCGATGTGTGTGTGTGTGTGTGGTGCTGTAGGTGTGTCCTCTGGTGTGCGTGCAAGGATGATGTCGTACCTGAAGCAGGCCCCATACGCCATGAACGGGCTGGGGCTCGGGGGCGCGCCCATGGACCTGCTGCATCCTGCGGTGGGATACCCAGGTACCAATACTTACTCACTTACTCACATGTAGAGGAGAGAGAGGCGCACAGACTAGCACAACAGTGTAACTCTGATATTTTGTGTTGTTAGACAGGTTCCTTTTGGTCAGGCTCCTGTAGTCCCACAGCAACAGCATAACAAAATCACAGGACTCACATCTACATTATTTTCTCAGCCTCACTGGTGTCTCTATTATAGCACTGCATACAGGCGTATGCCAAAGTTCATGGTAAAATGACATGTTTTGCTGATTTTCCAAGTGAAAATAGGTGAACACATCCTCTACAGAGAGCACACTTCACTTCAATATGGCATTTTACTGCCAATTTTAGGGCACAATTTCTGTTAAATTACTGATTTGCTGTTTATAAACATACAGAATACATACACAATTGGCCACATTTTATGTTTTGTCTTTTATCAAGAATAATTCAAATTCCTTTTTGGTTTCTATACAGAAGAGTGTGATTGGGGTGGGCAGGGTGTGGGGTACCCCACCTAGAGAAGTAGTGTCCCCCAAATGTTCAAAAAACAGCCCTGGACACTCATAATCACTAATTTGGCTCAGTAGAGCATGAAGAAACATGTATTCCTGCTTATGTGTATGTTATTTCAGCCCGAGTTACACAGTCAAAATGCTTACTGTTTCATTTCCCTTGTATTTTATGTGTTTTTCTGAAGTCCATGTTTATGTACTGACCACAGTCGTGATTCAATTTAACATGGCAATGACCTCTTTTTGGCCTTAGAATCAAACAGGCTGTTTTTTTGTTACTGTGCAATGAAGACTGATATATTGCTGCTGTTGGAACAAAACCTTGTATCTCCATAATGGTAACTTTACAGGGGAAGCAAAAAAAACATACTTTGCTATTAATGTAAATCAATGGAAACAGACTTTTTTGCAAGTCATTTTGGGCCTTTTCTTGTGGCCCATTCATTCTGAAATTTCCACACAATGTAAAGGACAACAGGCATTTTCAAACTACATCAAACTGAGAAATGACAAAAATGGAGATACAAGGTTTTGTTCCCACAGCAGCGATATGTTCTGATTGGCTGCCTGCAGGGCTGAAACATTCCTTATAACTTCATCATAAATGGGTGGTATAGACTGCTGTAGACTGAATGAGCTGATATTTGTAAATGCATCGCTTTGTGTGACAGCACAATAACAACAAATCTCAAGCAAGGCACGTTTGCAGACTTATTTCGGTGTATGGACTGTAGGGACTGGAACGTTTTGAAACTTTAAGTCCGAAAACATGAGGAAAAGTCAGTTTTCCATGATGTGTGCCCTTTAAATGAGTTTTCACAGTAGACCACTGGGAAACGTTCATTTTAAAAATAGAAAATGTGTTACGATGTGTGTAATAATATGTGTAATAACGTTTTGATTGTGTTTACTTACTTGTTTGTTTGTTGTATTTTTCTAGCTAACCCTCGGAAGCAGAGGCGGGAGAGAACCACATTCACTCGCACTCAGCTGGACATTCTGGAGTCTCTGTTTGCTAAAACGCGCTATCCGGACATCTTCATGCGCGAGGAAGTGGCTCTGAAGATCAACCTGCCTGAGTCCAGAGTTCAGGTACATTCCTGATCCATTACATTGCTTCTGCTTAGAACCAGTGGCCTCATACTGACCGAAGAGGTGCTGTAAAAGGTCATGGAGTTGTGATCACTGCATGAGTGATCTGCTCAGTTACTTCAGCTGTGCCATTTGGCCAATGCAAATGAACTCAAATCAACTGTGAGGCCTTGAGGACTTGCTTTTCCTGGTCAACCAACAATGCTAATGAGGCTTTCAGTGAATGGGAGCTAGTGAAGGCCTTGCTAACGTGCTATCTGGACTCCTCATTTGTCTTAGCAACATTAGCATGAGCTTTCCACATACCCAAGCCAAGGCATGTTTGGTGTCTGTTGAAATATGCTTCCTGACTATTGCCCTAAAGCTAGGAAGCTAATGTAGTCAAGTGATGGAAGCGCTTATAGCCACAATTAGCATGTAAACTGCATGGCTAAATCATCACATTCTTGGCTCAAACTGGGTCATATTGTTAAGTACTCACTAATAGACTTGCTTATGTGGTTTCTGACACTGTTTGATGTACTGTTATCTGTAAAAAGTGGGCAAAGCTAAAGAAGCTAACTTCAGAAGCTAAAGAACTCTTAGCTAATAGCTAGGACTTGTTTTTTAGACTTGGGCTGAAACTTCTTGATCTTCTTCTTCGTCAGGTTTGGTTTAAGAACCGGAGAGCCAAGTGTCGTCAGCAGCAGCAGAGCGGCAGCAACAACAGCACCAAAATCCGCCCAGCAAAGAAAAAGGCCTCGCCGTCCCGGGAAAGTCCCGGCTCAGAGAGCAGCGGCCAGTTCACCCCTCCAGCCGTGTCCAGCACCAACTCTTCCTCATCCTCCTCCTCATCCTCCTCTTCTTCCTCTTCAGGCTCGAACCCCTCAGGGTTGGGTGGACTGGGCATGAGTGGTAGCTCCGTCTCCGGCGCCACACCCGTTTCGTCCATTTGGAGCCCTGCTCCCATTTCTCCCCTCCCAGCCCCACCCACTCTGCCAGACCCTGCACCCCCTACCAGCGCCTCCTGCATGCAGCGCAGTGTCTCTGCAGCAACTGGAGTGCCCTCGTACCCCGTCTCCTACAACCAGACAGCCGGTTACGGCCAGGGTTACCCAGCTGCTGCTTCCGGGTCGTATTTCGGAAGCATGGACTGCAGCTCGTATTTGCCAGCCATGCATGGCCACCCGCACCATCATTCGCACCACGCGCAAATCGGGTCCATGTCGGGCACCGGAGTGTCCGGGCACCATCACGCGCACCACCCGCATCACCTCGGGCAAAGCAGCGGGCACCACCACCCGCACACCCACCCGCACGCTCACCCGCACCAGGGCTACGGCAGCTCGGGGCTCCCATTCAGCTCCACGGACTGCGTGGATTACAAAGACTACAAAGACCAGCAGGCAGCTGCCGCCGCTGCGTCGTCATGGAAACTGAACTTCAGCTCAGACTGCTTGGACTACAAAGACCAGGCCGCCTGGCGCTTTCAGGTTTTGTAAGTTTGTTTTGTTTTTTTGCTAGGGTTGATTTTTTTTTTGTTTGTTTAGAAACTTTTTCAAACCCCACATAGGAAACATATGAAATGAAAAAGTTGAAATGTGACTTTAAAGCCCGGATTTGGAAGCTCCAGCTTTTTCCAAATGGATTCCTAGCTAAAACAAAAACAGCGGAGATGTCTTAGTGGTGGTGCAGGATTCATTTTATATATATATATATACATATATTTTTGGGGGGTATCAAAGCATGGATACCTGCTGCCTTTGCCTCTGAACACTTTCTGTAACCTTCACCAAAGTTTCACTCAAAAAAAAAATAATTATAAATGCTTTTTGTTTCCCCTTAAAAAGAGGTCAGACTGTAGCTGGTCCTCTTTTAATAGGCCATAATTGGGTTTTTGAAGATCTAGTCAAACTGACGCTATCAAGAACCAGATCGGTGCTGTGATGTCACAGGCTGAAGTTGGCTGAAGTCCTCTTCAAATTTTCTGCTCCACCTTAAATGGTGGATTTTTTTCTTTCTGGTACGTTTTGCATGAATGTGCCAGAATGAAACTGCTGCACAATTTAAGGTGGAACGGAATATTTGACTCGGAAGAAAACTTAAACCTCATCTGTTGCTGTGAGTGCGCTGTGTGTGTGTTAGTGTGTGCATGTGTGTGTGCGTGTTAGTGTGTGCATGTGTGTGTGTGTGTGTGTGTGTGTGTGTGTGTGTGTGCATGAAGACTAATAATTCTGTGCTCTCAACTCTCCTTGTGAAAATGAGCTGATATGTTTTTGCATTATGTTCATTAAATAAAGTAAATAAAGCTGAATTGGTCTGAATGGCTTTCTTTAATGAAGACCTACAAAGAGAAACGTCTAGGCTAGTTTAACTGTTGCATATAGAACAATATAGGTGATATATATATATATATATATATATATATATATATGTATACACTTTCCTTTTACCATATGTCACGTGTCATTCCAGGCTCCGCCCACAAATGTCTTCTGTCCTATTCACTGTCAGGTTGGACAAGCTTTCCAGAGAAAAAAATCAAATTGTAGCTCAACCTTATGTAGACTCAGCAAAGACTGCTACACTTTCCTATTCAGTTCAAGGGGCTTTTTGCCCAAAGTTTGTCCAACCTAGCAACAGTTGCTATGGAAAGCTTTTGGAGGTGAAGCACGGACATGGACACAGTTCTATGCTGTTTTCACTCATACTTTATACACTCAAACAAATAACGTGTTGAATGAGCTTAATTCAATCATAACACACATTTCCATTCAGTCTTATAGAGTCAGTCAGCCCAGACTTCGGGTACCTCAACATAAATCCAGCTGTTGATGGAAGAAACATACATACATACATACATCATCTAAACCACTTATCCTTCTGGGTCGCGGTGGGATGCTGGAGCCTATGGAAGAAACAATCGCAGTGTAATTTATTTCAGTTTCAGTGAATTTACTTTGGATCAGCAACAGTTTTCATTCACTGAAATGCACTTTCATTACTTTTTATCCATTTTACATAAAAATGTTCAAAACAACACAATTAATGTATTTAATGTCAACGTGTTTTCAATTTCAAGTCCAACAACTTATTTTTTTGCGTGTAATTTTCACTTTTTTCTCATACTTGTCTTTTCACTCATACCTTTCATAAGTTCATATACACTTTCACTGTCCAATAACAAACATTTCCCCTTATTTATTTACTTTTTAATTTCTTTACATCATTTAAACACAGCAGCTGCCTTCTACATTGCCTACATTGTGTGGACCGATAGAAATTCTCCAAAATTGCAAAAATACTATGTAAAATAATTTTACATTAATCTACATTGAAAGATAAGAACGTTTTTGCCTTTTTGTGTGGCTTTTATTTTGAAGAAGACGAATATATATGTATGTATATCCCCTACAGAGAGCACACTTCTGCACATTTTAATGCACAGCTATTGTTTATTTGCTGAATTCAACAATTGGAAATAAATAAATAAATAAATAAATAAATAAATAAATAGCACATCTCATCTTTTATGAAAATTCAGCAAATACATAGAAATTTGCACTAAAATTTTCAAAAATAAAAATGCCATATTTCAACATATTTAAATCAACATCATTTGAGCGGGAGTGTTCAAACATTTGCATAGTAGGGCCTATATTTTTATTGTGATACAGTTACTGTAATAAAATGTGAGAAAAGGCGCAGGGCTCGTGCTGAAGGGCAGTGATGAGGTGCTGAGGGTCGGCGGGAGCGCGCGCTGGGGGAGACAGCGCTCTGCAGTCAGTTGATACAAAAACCCAAACGCTGAGATTCTTCAGACTGGGAGAAATGATTTACTACAGCTGTTAACAAACAACACAAACGCCGTTAAGTCCTATGAACACGCGCGCGCGGACTGTCCTCCCGGGCAGCGGCGAGTTTGTTTATCCAACAGGGAAAGCGCAAATCACGATTTCAATTAACACGCAGTTTTCTGGTTTTCCCGAAGTCGCCGCACAGCTGAGTACACACGCTCAGCGTGTCTGTGTGTGCGTGTGTGTGTGTGTGTGTGTGTGTGTGTGTGTGTGTGTGTGTGTGTGTCTGAGCTCGTGTACAAACAGCGCAGGATTTGGTACATCTGCATCAGACAGCACTGCTAATCTCCCATCATGCTTCAGGGACAGAGCGCGCTGGTTTACTCTGTAAACACCTGTTTACTCTCAGCGCGCGCTTTTCACGCGATACAATTTATTATCCCACAATACAACATCTCACTGCGTCATAATACATCTCACTGCGTCATAATATAATAACTCACTACATCCTAATACATCTCACTGCGTCATAAAACAACATCCCACTGCGTCATAATACATCTCACTGCGTCATAAAACAACATCTCACTGCGTCATCATACATCTCACTGCGTCATAACACAGCATCTCACTTTACCATAATACAATAACTCACTGCATCCTAATACATCTCACTGCGTCATAATACATCTCACTGCGTCATAATACAGCATCTTACTTTACCATAATACAATAACTAACTGCATCATAATACATCTCACTGCATCATAATGCATCTCACTGCATCATAATACAATAATTCTGCATCATAATGCATCTCACTGTGTCATAATACAATAACTTACTGCATCGTAATACAACATATCATAGTACAACATAAATAACAAATAGATCATATTAATACAGTACATAAGTCGTAGGTACATATCATATAATACATATCGCTGCTGTCCGAATAAAACCTCACATCTCCATTTTGGTCATTTTCATAATTTGAAAATACCTGTTGTCCCTCACAATATGTGTAAATTTAATAAAGAATGGACCAAAAGAAACAACTCAAAATGACTTTGAAAAAAGTCTGGTTCCACTGACTTACATTAAAAGTAAAGTACTTTTTTCCTTCTCTTGTAAAGTTACCATTTTGGAGATATGAGGTTTTGTTCCGACAACAGTGATGTGGATGTATGTATGACCCTGTATGTCCTGACAAAGTATGAAAACAATTTTATGTGTTATGTCCCTGAGTGCACTGCAACCTGTAGCTGACCTTTTCATTGCCTTCACAAATCACTGAGGCATGGCACTGCCACGCCGCTATCACACTCTCATGAGCAGATACCTATCTGTGCCAGAGAGAGAGAGAGAGAGAGAGAGAGAGAGAGAGAGAGAGAGAGAGAGGGAGAGCTATGATAAATAGAGGCTTAAGGATGAGCATCAGACTTTGGGCGTCTGTCAACAAACTCTGAATCTGTGGCATCTCCTGTTGTTCCCGCAGATCGGAGACGTGTTGCTGATTCTTGCGATTAGTTCTCAGTATCGGTCAGCACGGAGTCAAATGGAGGACAAAGTCTAAGGTGTTCAAATAACCGCTCGCATTCATTACTGCACTGTTTCTCAATCTCATTGTCATAAACCCTGACTTCACTGTACAGCTCTAGGAAAAGCCTTAAATTTGTATAGAGGCTTTACATTATGTGGAGCTCCTTTAAGGTTTATAAATATGACTCTTAAAAACCCTGTGTCCAACATTTGTTTTGCATTTGATTGATCCCCTGAGATTCATGCATAATGTTTGAGTAGTTCTATATTTCAAAAACTGTCACAATTTTAAATTAACATTTTCTAGAGATATAAGTCACTTCTTGCAAGTCCAAGTCAAGCCTCTGGAGTGAAAGTACAAATTGTCTTTTGTCTCTGCGTTGCAAGTCTGAGTCAACTCTTGTGTCTCTGAAATGCAAGTTTGAATAATGGATCAAGTCTCTGGGTGCGATTCAGAGCCAAGTCTGGAGTCAAGTCCAAGTCCAAGTTGAGTGTTAAGTCTCAGGAGTGTGAGTCCAAATTATGTCTCAATTTCTGAAGTGCATGTCTGAGTCAAACCTTGAGTCTCCTGGGTGCAAGGTTGAGTCAAGTCTTGAGTATCTGGAGTGCGAGTCTGTGTCAAGTCTGGAGTCTCTGAGTTGCAAGTCCAAGTCAACTCTGGAGTTTTTGGGCTGAGAGTCTGAATCAAATCCCAAGTCTCTGGAATGTAAGTCTCAGTTGAGTCTCGAATCTCTGGGGTGAGAGTCTGAATCAAGTCTTGAGACTCTGGAATGCGAGTCTGACTTGAGTCCCTGGGGTGACAGTCTGAGTCTAGTCTTAGATCTCTGGGAGTCCAAGTTGAGTCTTGAGTCTCTCAGTGCAAGTCCAAGTCAAGCCTTGATTCTCTGGAGTTTGAGTTTGGATCGAGTCTTGATTCTCTGAGCTGTCCAAGTCAAGGCTGGAGTTTCTGGGATAAGAGTCTGAGTCAAGTCTAGAGTCCAAGTTGAGTCTCAAGTCTCTGGGGTGCAAGTCCAAGTCAAGCCTTGTTCAAGTCAGGTCTCTAAAGTGTGAGTCCGAGTTGCGTCTCAAGTTTCTGGGGTGTGAGTCTGAGTCGAGCCTTGAGTTTCTGAGGTTCAAGTTCTGGAGTGTGAGTCCAAGTTGAGTCTCAAGTGTCTGGGGTGTGACAGC